TATATCTGGAATCTCAAAAAATGATACAAATGAACTTATTTACAAAACAGAAATAGACTCACAGACATTGAAAACAAACTTACGGTTACCAAAGGGGAAAGTGGGGGGACTCCAACTCTAAATTGGAGTTAAACTCTAAGTATGCTAACAAACAAGTGATGTGTAAACAGTGGGAGTCCCCAGAGACAGACACTTAACATCTGCATAAACAATTCAGAAGACAATTGAATTTAGGGACTTCAGAGGAGACCAAATCAGTAGCTAGAAAAGCATCAGATGAACCAGGGTATGCTTCTAAAAAAATCCAACAATTCAAGGGCACATATAAGAAAAATGTTATTCATTCATTCATTCATTCATTCACTGACTCATTCATTCATTCAACAGAACCTACTGAGCTCACACTGTGTGCTAGCTCCTGTTAGGGAGGGGACAGCAACACGACAAGGCGTGGTTGGCAAAAGAGATGTCTTAGGCCCTTCATTGAATCTGTCAGTCGAGCCTGCAGTCAAATCAAAACATTGACAAAGTTTAGAGCACTATTTGGGAGAATTCTGGAAACCAAGTGGAAGATTGATTCGGTCCCAAACATGGAGGATGCAGTGGTGAGAGAGACCACACGAAGACATAATGGACTCAGAAGTTCGGGAGAAAGTAGAGAAAAAACAGCAAATTCTTACAAGGAGGCAATTAAAAATATCCTGGCAGTCTGGAGGCTGAAGGGGATATGATAAAAGTTAATACAATCACAGAGACCATGAATTAAATAACAGAATGGTTAAAAACAGATGTTCTGGTGCCAGATTGTCAGGGTTCAAATGTTACCTCTGCTGCTTTCCAGCTGTGTGACGTGGGGCAGATTACTTAATCCGTCTGTACTTCTGTTTCCTCATCTTTAAATTAAGACTAATAAAAGTACCTACTTACAGCATCCATGTAGATGTGAAGATTGAAATGAGTTAACGCCTGTGGATCTCTTTCAACTCTGCTTGGCACAAAGCAAAACACTAAGAAATGTTACCTGTTTTTTTTTTTTTTTCCAAATGCCAAATCTTTAGAATCAGTTCAGTCAATGTTTAATTGTAAAGGAAATGAGGCTCATTATGACACACTCAGTAATCTAAAGGGAACTTGTAATATCCGGAAGCGGTACCCTCTTAACTTGCTAAGAGATGCTGAGAAGGTTAGATTAATTCCTTCATGTTAGACCTGCAACAAGTCCTAAGGGGGTTTAGGAATGCTAAGGATGCCTGTTTATCTTCTATCTTTGCATCCCACAACACACAACACAATCTGACACAGGCTCCTGAGGCTGGGAGACTCTGGATCTGATGGCATTTCCTAGTGAGAAAATAATTGCTCAGCTTGGCAAAGGGGAAAATGTTAAGTCTTTGATGTAGCAACATGTAATAATAATAGGCCATCCACTGCAGAGCAATGCATTGCCAGAAACCAAGGGCCAGTGAGTTAGTTTTTGTTTTTCTTCCAAGGAAATAAGTTGGTGTCAATGATCCACACACTTGGGTTTATCCAGAATTCTCTTGACAAAGAGCAGTAGGCATGTGTGAGGTCACAAATGGCGGGTGACTGGAAGGGGAGGAAAAACTAACTGCCTGGAAAGGGGATTTCTCAATGCAGTTGAGACAGAGAGCTTCTTAACTCCCCCAAGCCAACTGGTCAGTCACCAACTCTACTGTCAGGCTGGACTTTGAAATGAGGGCTGAGGTCAAGTCCTGAGGTCAAGCACGGTGCTGGGCCATGCCCTCTCCATTCTCCGGGTCTCAGATCGGCTTCATGGTAAAACAGTGGACCAGGATTTAAAAAAAAAAACAAATAGAACACATAAAAGTACCAGAATCTTTCCTTCAAATGAAATCTTACTTTGGAGTTTCAGGAATAATATATTCATATACATCTCAAGTGTGGAGGAGTGGCGGGGTGGGACGTGGCCTCACTGCTGCGTGGATTCACTCATCCCCACTTGCATTGCATCCCTTCTCCCTCTGGCTCATCCTAACACAGTTTGAAAGCCACTGGCCTAGATAAGCTCTAAAGTCCCCTCCAGGTCTAGCATTCTGTGGTTCTGGTGCCTTCGGCACTAAAGTGACCTCAAATCGAAGGAGCAATTACAGGTTCTAGAACAGCACTGGCCAACAGAAACATGTAAACTGCATAAGTCAGTAGAAATTTTCTAATAGTCATAGTCTAAGAAGTAAACACGAAACAGGTAAAATTCATTTTACTAACATATGTTATTTAACCCAAAGTATCCAAACTATAAACAATTCAATATGTAATGAATTTAAAAGTAATGGAGATCTTTTACATTTTTTATATGACGTTTTCAAAATCCAGTGTGCATTTTAAACTTACAGCACATCTCAAATCAGACGTATCACATTTCAAGCATTAAACAGCCACATGTGGCAAGTGGCTACCTCACCGAACACAAAGATAAAGAACCTTAAATGCCTCAGAGCCTTTTCCTGAGTCCCAAGTGCACTTTACCCATGAATGTAAAGGGAAAGATCTGTATAGGCCTCCTGTGTTCAAACTCATGGACAGTGAGACAGGCAGATGGGTCCACTTCTGTTTCCTTCACCCACAGGTACTGCAGTGGTCTCCTCTTGCAGGGGATCCTTCTCCTCAACCTTCCTCTAGGCCTAGAAATGTCATAGGATATTTCAACAGGCTGGTCTCAGTGACCTCAACTGCTTGCCCCCTCACTTTTCTATCCCTCAGCTCATTCCCCACTTCTTGCTGATTTAATATCACCTTTATCCTGCAATTTCTTCTTGCTAAATTTTCTCTAAGTCTTTCTCTGCCTTAATTCTTGTACCTCCAGGAATCCACTTTGACCTTGAGTATTATTTTGAAAACTTGGCTCTCACCCAGTCCCGACCTGCTGCCATTAGTTCCCACATACTTAACCATTTGCGTGAACATAAAGGCAGGCATTTAATTAATACATTTGTTCGACATTATCCATATTATGTCTTATATGCTGGCTTAAGTTAGCTTCATCTTTTTGCTTTAACACGTGGTGTTTTGCCCTGAAAATAACAATAAATATTTTTCTCATGATGTTTGTTTGTAGGAACAAATGGCTCAGTACAATCATGTTAGAACACTCAAATGCAGAGAAGATGCTTCACTGTTTCTTTGGGACTAAAACTGAACACTAAGGCTTTGCCAGTTATTTGTACACAGATCAGGTTCATAGCCATTGGCTGGTTGGCATTACAAATTTAAATCTAAGGGTAGTACTTCAGATACTATTTCCACATTTATGACTCAAAACATGGAACAAAATCACCTCTTTTTGTAGAAAAGAAGCTTAGAAGAGTAGTGACTAAAAAAAATCCATCTGTAATCTGTTTTTTTTTTCTACCACTGCAATTTGAGTATGAACTATACACTTAGAGATGCTTAACTTAAAAAATAATTACATCTTTGTATATGTTAACGACATGTTTATTCCATGTTTCAGGCTTGATAAATGATGAGGAATTTTGCCATCTTTCCCAATTTTTCATCCTGGATGGCTTAGATTCTTAGCCAACTAAATTATAATAATCCACCAGTTTGAAACTCTAATAAAATAATCATCTCATTCAATGAATTACATTTCTTTTTAAAGTTGCTTTCCCCTTCTGGGCCTTGTAGAAAGACTTTTAAGAACTATTCTGCAATTGTATCAATTCCTACTTTGTTTGGACTTAGATACTGATAGATACTGAGATATTAGCATTGAATTCATAACTTACAGATCATAAGTACTTTTAAATAGAGGGACCCTATTTGCTAAAGCAAACACAATGCTTTTTTCTTTTTTTTTTACTCAATGCCCTTTACCTGCAGACGATCCTTTTTTTCCCCCCTGAGTGCTTGCACCAGAACTTTTTCCTTTTTCTTCTAAGCTGGGTTCTTGCTATTTTACAGATAAATAAATACAGTGACTCTGGATGAACAGATACAATAGAAGTGAGTCAGAATCAGGACTTATAACCAGAACTCTCCAACCTTGAGTTAGTGAATATTTTTTTCAATACTTATCTATGGATAGGAAAAGGCAAGCTATTAAAGTTCCAAATAGATCCAGGGTTAGAGCCTCTGGGAAGTTCTTTTCTGATTTCTGTGGAAATTATCCAGAACCCACCTTTCTTGGCCAGGACCTGCTGATCCCCAAAGGTGTAAGGATCAAAGGGTGTACCTTAACCACTCATTAGTTATCATTAAGGGGTACTGTCTATGTGTGTTGGTGTGTGAGTTGTGGGGCGTGGGGCAACAAAAATGCTTTCCTGTTTAAGATGACTGCATGCATTTACTTCAGTCTGAAACACTGTCGTGAAACCCGGACTGTGTGTCTATGCATATATGGGAATATGAGAATATATATATCCCCAGAGGTACCCAAAGGGATGTCTCAGCTCATTGAGCATAGCTGGTCAGCCGGCCAAGGTTTGGCATCGTCAGATTTCAGATCTGCACTTAAAGCCAATGCCATGAATATGTCGCTGCCACTTAGCTTGCTTATTAGGCTTGGATCCTGAAGTATGTCTCCAAACACCTTCAATCTGGTAAGAAGAAATCATAGTCAAATATTCTCTAGCGCTCTCTGAGACAGGAGAGGGGGGAAAAGGAAAAAAGCTCTATTTCTTTAGGGTTCCTTGATGCAAACTCTCTGCAGTTCATCTCCTCATCTCCACTTCTTTTCGTACCTCAAGACTTTCCCGCAGTTTCCCTGATATTTTCCTGATGATGCACAGGCAGGCTCGCCATCCTCCCACCCCCTCTCCCCCCAATCCAATCCCCTCTTCTGCCGCGCGCCTCAGCCGGCGACCACTCCGGCGAAAGTCGCGAGAACCAAGAGGGGAGCGCCGCCTTCACGACGCTCCGCCGGCCACACTCAGTCGGTTATTTACTCAGCTCCGGCTCCTTTCCGCCAGCCGCTGCTGTTCCAGAAGCTCCGGGCAGGCGGTCCTCGGCTCGCTGGGGCCCTACGCGGTGGCCGGTAACTGCCGAGGCGCGCGGGGAAGGCGGGCTGCGGGTCGGTCGCGCGCGGCTCTGAGGAGCGGGGCGCGAGGACCCTGCGGGCGGGGTGGGAGAGGGGCCGCGGGCGGGCAGAGGGCCAGGCCTGGGTGGCGAGGCAGACGCACTCCAGGCCCCGGGACGCCCGGCCTAGGGGGTGGCGTCTGTGCCGCCCCTCGGGGCGCGCCCCCTGTAGCTTCTGGCCCGGGTCCAGGCTGCCGCCTCCAAGCAGCCCTCCGCAGCGCTGCCTTCGTGCTACGGGTGGAGCCCCGGTAGGCAGGCGGGGAAAGCGGGGGCGTGACAGGGGCGCAGATATAGGAGAGCCAGAGGGCGCCGCGCCACCTCCGCGCTGGGTAGCAGTAGGGCAGCCGGAGGGGCAGCGACATCTGCGGGCGGGCAGCCGACGCTTCCAGGCGGCGCGAGGCCGAGGGGGTGGCCCGGAGGACTCGGGCCGCGGCGAGGCTGGAGGGCCTCACTGCCCGTGGGCAGACGGCCGGCTCGCCAGATGCCCCAGAGCCCAGGTCCCCAGCGCGTGGCCCCAAGCCGCGGACTGGAGAAGAAGCGACGCCCCTGGCGGCGTGCTCACATGCATCCCCCCGCGCGGGTGGCTCGGCGACGTCTGTGAATCTTGGGTTTATCAAGTCACGTCGAGCGACTCGGAGAACCTGTTCTTCCCGCTGGGGAGAGTGATCATTCTCGTTGCCACTTGCCTGTAGAAAGTTACTCCAACACGTTTGATCATCCGTCCAGAGTAAGAAGGGAAAAGAAATAGCGTGGTCTGTCCGGGGGTGAGGGGACTTAGGGGGATCCCGCCAAGTGGGCAGAGCCAGTTTTAGCTGGAGCGGCGAGTCCAGCCCACTGACAATCCAGCTCCGGAAAGGGTTAACTGCATCCTGCCGGTTCGGTTTACATGTAAATAGAGAGCAGCTGCTCCGCGCGGGCCCCAGTTGGCCCTTTTAAGTTTTTGATTGGTTGCCAATGACATCACCGCCCGTGTTATAACACTGTGGACCCGAAGCGGCGTCGGATAAACCCTCCTTAAGGAGGCAAGGCCACGCCCTGGCTCCGCCCTCTCCAGCCACCCATTGGCCGCGGGCTGCTGCGAAGTAGCGGTTAGCTTTCTCTGGATTTCTATTGGTCCAACGCACCGTCGGTCGGCAGCCGGCCCGCCCCCTCAGAACCTTACATTTACAGTGTAGCAAAAGAGAAAGTAACTATGTTGCTGCTGGAGATCAATGAAGCCAAGTGAATGAGGGCTGAATGTGCGAATCCACAGCCGAAGCGGAGCGCCAGATAGTGGAGGGTTACACTTATTTATGAAGTAAGTGGAAGTCACCGTGGCTACTCCCGAGAGCCCGGGAGTGTAAGGCGGTGTGAGTGTGTATGTGTGTGTGTGTGTGTGTGTGTTGCGATGGTCACGGAAGAGCCACAGCAGGTGAGGTTAAAGGGTTCCGGCTGTTGCCTCACGTTGCCCTGTGCGTTTACTCTCTCTGCAGTCTACTTGGATTGGGGGCGAGGAAAAAATGAGGTTTGTTGGGACGCTTTGCGGCAGTTTTAAATGCCAGGGACTTGTTAGTGCGCTGTGTTGCGAAGGGGGATGTTAAGTGCCCCAGGAGTGGGGAAGGAGCATTCTCTGACCACTTCATTTTCTTTCCAGACCCTGACTAGAGGTGGAAGGACGACTAGCGAGGGAGAGGGGATAGCTCAGTATTTCTCTGGGAGGTTTCTTAGGCTAGTCTGGATGGTTTCACGGGCAATATATATTTACGCCCGACCCTCTGCTGCAGGGATGCAGATCTCTTTATACACTCCGCGCGTGTGTGTGAGAGAGAGTGTGTGTGCGCCGCGCACTCCGTGTGGAGGTGGGGGTGCCAGCTTGTGTCTCCGTGAACACGCTCATGCGTCCCTTTCAAGGGAAGTGGACTGTTGATCCTGGGAGGTACCCTACCAGGTAACACAATAGCAAAGACTTTCACTGCTTGGTCCAGCTGGGAAACAGTTATAGCTTCTGGAATAGTACTTGCTCTTCAAAAAATACTACGCAAGGGAGGGAGGGAAGGAGGGAGGGAGGGAGGGCGGGAGGGCAAGGGAGGAAAGAAGGGAGGGAAGAAAAGAGGAAGGGGGGGAGAAAAGGGGTTGGGTCCTTCTTGCTCATCCAAAGGTGGTGAGAGAAAGCTGAGTCGGTGGCGATCTGTGGATGTGATATGTGCGTGCCCCTGTGTGTGTGAATGTGTGGATTCTGCCTGTGACATTTTGGCTCTGTGTCAGAGAGTGGTGACAGTCCTGTGTAGAGGGATGTTCGATGACATTTTTCCAGACATCTCTTAAAGTTCGTTTAGATGAGCTACTCTTGCATGGGGTTTGGGTTCTTTTCTGTGTGTATGTCTAATAGGAGAGGAGCCATCAGGGCCCGGGTGTGGAGTGCCCCTGTGCGTACAGGGAGGAAGGAACTGTCCCTTTGCACGCGCCCTCTCATGAGACAGGAGGTAGACCCCTGAGCAACTCTTTACTTCCCACAAGGACGGGCTCATTGGGAAGTCTTCTTAATGAATCCATCCTCTTGAAGAGGGGGGATATCTGTGTGGGATTGAAAGATTATGCATAGCGGCTGCCTCCCATTGAGAAGATCTCTAGGATGTGCCTGTGGGGAAAGAAGGAGGGAGGAGAGTTGAAGTGGTCCTTTCCTTAAAGGCAGCAAGGGAGCAATCCAAGGGATGGATCTGCCAGAGTTGGGGCTTCCAGACCTGGCTCCTTGGCTTGAGGCTTCATTCTAGGAGACTAGTATGTAATGAAAGAGGAAATGCAGATTAATTTATAAGAGGCTAATTGGAAACATGGGAGGTTTTAATATGACTTTGTTGTGCTTTTCAAAGGACTCAGTAGAATGGAAAGTAAGAATAGCTGGCAGTTAAAGAGATTCACTTAGGGGGATGCTTTCATTTTGATGTGCAGAAAGTTGACATCCGCCCCTGATGTATATTTAGCTGCCGTATATTCCCGTGAGCCACGCCAGCACTCTTGGTCATTCCTTTACCTTTGCAGTGGGTGAAGGAATTACATGGAAAGTATGCACGGGTGGACGCATGGGTCTTTCTCAGACGGTTGCATTAACTTCTGCCCAGGAGATGAGGCCCAGAAGAGATGCCTCTTAAGAGCCTTCCCTTCTGTCTTCAGCTTTTCTAATTCTTTGTGCTTTTACCTTTTCTCAGGCTGAACTTTGGTGTGGGTCGGTGGAAGGTTGTTCATCAACATTTGCATAGACTTTACATCTAACGTTAGACTTAGCAAGAACTGGGGGGTCCTCAGGTTTGCATCTTCTTTGAATCCATAGCAATGAGCTTCAGGCTTTGAGAGTGACAGGGTAAAGGGCACTTAGGACAACTTCGCTCAGAGGGATGCAAAGCCCCTTCCTAGGGATTGGATTCGACTGCCTTTTGTGTCACATGACTTTATTCTTTCTTTCCCCCCTCCCCTTCTTTACAGACTGTCTTGAGTTCTTCTTGAATTGCCAGTTTTCAGCCTCCTCATGCCTCCGTCTCCTTTAGACGACAGGGTAGTGGTGGCACTGTCTAGGCCTGTACGACCTCAGGATCTCAACCTTTGTTTAGACTCTAGCTACCTTGGCTCTGCCACCCCTGGCAGTACCAGCCACCCTCCTGTCATCGCCACCACCGTTGTGTCCCTAAAGGCTGCGAATCTGACGTATATGCCCTCATCCAGCGGCTCTGCCCGCTCCCTGAATTGTGGATGCAGCAGTGCCAGCTGCTGCACTGTGGCAACCTACGACAAGGACAATCAGGCCCCAACCCAAGCCGTTGCCGCCGGCACCACCACCACCACCATTGGAAGCTCTACCACCTGCCCGGCCAACCAGATGGTCAACAACAGTGAGAACGCAGGCTCTCTAAGTCCATCAGGTGGGGTGGGCAGCCCTGTGTCAGGGACCCCCAAGCAGCTAGCCAGCATCAAAATAATCTACCCCAATGACTTGGCAAAGAAGATGACCAAATGCAGCAAGAGTCACCTGCCGAGCCAGGGCCCCGTCATCATTGACTGCCGGCCCTTCATGGAGTACAACAAGAGTCACATCCAAGGAGCTGTCCACATTAACTGTGCCGATAAGATCAGCCGGCGGAGACTACAGCAGGGCAAGATCACTGTCTTAGACTTGATTTCCTGTAGGGAAGGCAAAGACTCTTTCAAGAGGATCTTTTCCAAAGAAATTATAGTTTATGATGAGAATACCAATGAGCCGAGCCGAGTGATGCCCTCCCAGCCACTGCACGTAGTTCTCGAGTCCCTGAAGAGAGAAGGCAAAGAACCTCTGGTGTTGAAAGGTAATGCCCCCACCCCCTCCCGGAGCACAGTCCTGGTAAGCCTGGGGTCACTCTGGGTTTTCTCTTAGAAGTAACAACATCCTCCTGCAAAAAAAAAAAAACAAAAACAGAATTGCCTATCTTCTTCTTGTCTTCCCTTCCATGCCCTCTCAATTATTTTGGGGTTGGGAGAGAAACCCAGCAGCCTTGAACTGATAGCCAGAAGATTTGGGCTCTAGTCTTCATTCACCTTCTCATTTGCATTGTGCAAGTCATTTCCCCTCTTGGAGACCGTTTTCTCATCTTTCTATAAAGGGGCTTTATGACACCAGATGGCATCTCCAGTCATGCCTGGTCTGGTAGTTCTAGTCCAGTCAAACTAGCTGGAAAGTTCTTGTCTCTCAGACTTAATCAAAGTTGATGGAACAGAGGAAACCGCAACTGGGGTGAACTACAGGGAAACCTCCAGGTACCAGTTTTTGGTGGGAAATTCTTCCTCTTTCTCACCTCTCTGAAAGTGACCTTCAGGAAGGGCAGAGAGCTGTATTCTAAGGTCCCTCACAAAGTATAAGTTCACCCCAAACATCCGTTCCTCTGCCAGAACTTCAAGGGACAGAGTCATTTTTATGAAATACTCCCCAGCCCCGCCCCCCAGTTCCTTCTGGCATCACCTGACAACCGTTGGCATCATGGCTCTCCCTAAGATGGGGTGGTGGGTCACTTGCCCCACTGAGCACAGAATAACTGGCAGGTCAGTGTCGCTGAGCCCTGGCAGCAGGAATTAATTGCTCCCTGGTCTCTGGGCTCCTTCCACACAGCATTGCCTAACCTAGTAGTGGAGCCCGCGTCTCGTATCCAGCCCAGGTGTGGCTCTTTGCCCTCGGATGCCATTCTTTGGGGCACTGCACACCACACTTCATCTTCGGTGTCTTCTGTCAGGGGGTAGTGGTGGTAGTGAGAGATAGGCATCTTATTTCTTCTCTTCCCAAGTGTGTTGAGTCAAGGCATACAGTCTGGGCCACATCACCAGCCAGTCTCGTGCGGTGTGTAGACCAAAGACGTTGCTGGGTTCCTTTGAACACCTTGCATATTTAAATTGCAACAGGCCATTGGGCTGAGCAAGTTAGGAGTTTTACCTTTGTGGGCCAGCTCTGCCATTCTTCTTCTTGTCTTCCCAATGGTGCATTCTGCCTTTTGTTAAGCAGTGTTCTTAGAAATACAGTTCTGAATGTCTTTGACATCATCCCTTCTGCCCACCCTTACTGCCCTCAAACCTGCTCTTGTTGGGCTCAGCTAGCACAAAAGTATGGCTTTCCTTGGGCTGGTGGGCCCTCAGGAGAAGGAGAACATCATGGAAGTTGCATCCAGAGAGTTCCCAGCAGCTCCCAGGTATTTTTTTTTTGTTGCTGATGGGTTTTCTTGGGGTTACAGATATGCTCAGATTTCCTCTGTGTACCCCTGTATTTTATTGTTTTGTATGCTTGTTTGGCTGACTTTGAGTGATTCCCAGTAGGTTTACCCAGCTAGCGTTCTGTCCCCATGATCTTGGCTTCTCTCATCTTTTTTGGATGAGAAAATACAGTCTCCAAACTTCCCATTTGTAATAGTTTGTCTTGGGGAGCCAAGAAGGGGAGAACCAATGCAATGATCTTGAGGGTGGTCTGTTGCTCATGTAGAGTAGATGTCGTTGAGGGAAAGCAGACCTTTTGTGTCTGTATGATCTGAGGACAGGCATCACATAATCCACATGAAGATGACCCTGGACATGAACATAGGGTGATTAGGAAGAGGTGGAGATTCTACCCTCTACTTTGCAGTGGGCATTGTTGTGTATGAGTGTGGCTTGTCAATCGCTGGGCAATGAATCTCCTAGGTGTTACTGATCAAAGTGGGGTTCCTTTCCCCCTTTCCGGTGGATGCAGCTGAGAGCCCGGGCAGCCTGCGCTTGTTCCTCAGTGTCAGTGAGGAAGATTGCCTCAATGGGGCGGGGCCGGACATGCTGCTGACCTCACCACTGGGTGCCTGGGAGGCCGCTGTGAGGGCTCATCATTTTCGGGTTGGTGAGACACAGCGGCGGTCGACCTGGAAGACGCGCTGGTGGTAGAGGTTGGATTATTTGTAGTTTGGGGGGCTCTTTCTTCAAATATCTGGGAATTTGGTTGAATATATGTAGTTCAGGAGCAAAAGGATCAGTAATCTACTTTATTATTTTTGTCATTATTACTTTGGTCTCTTTTGGGGGAATGGCCTAAAATTGGGACCACAATGGGGAGGAAGGGAAAGAGATTGGTATTCGAATGCCCCTCGCTACCCTTTCATCTGGGTAAACCAAACGTTAATACCATAGCACCACTGAGGTGAAAAGTGGGGTGGGCATCTCTCAGAAGGCATAGCCAGCAACTTCTCCTAGGTTCTTGAGTGGGTCAAGCAGACCATTCTGGTCTGGCTTCTCTGCTGAGGTTTATTTTAGTAACCCCCTCCATTAGTGATGTAAGATTTTATTTTAGCGAGAGTGGCGGTGGTACCATTTTGGAATGAGTGACTTTTGTAGGGTAGATCTGGGGTGGGGGTAGTTAGAATCTAAGGTCGAAACTTCTAAGGCTTCATTAGCTTATTTTCAGAGATTTCAGTATAATCTCGGGTAATTTATGGCTGACCCATCTGATTCTCTGGTTTATGTTTGTAAACACCGGTTGCTACCCTCCCTGTCCAAGTTTTATGTCCCCCTCTTTCAATGCCATGTTCTCCATTTTTGGTGCTGCCTGTCAAGTAGAGCGGCTGCTCAGATACCATTTTAGTAATGCTGTGTCAGGTTGGGAAGAAACTGATCAGAGGCGCAGAAGCCCCTGGGATTAAGTTACTCTTCTAATTTACAGTCCCGTCCCTGTTGTGACCTATGTCTGAATCTGTGTTTTATTCTCATCTTCCGAAGAATAAATGGCGTCAGACCTGTGCTTCTATTCAACCTGGCAAAAAATGATCCAAATGAATGTATATTTAGAGACCTGCAAAGTCTTTGAAAGAATTACAAGCTGTTTTACACAAAGTTGAGGTTTAATGTGATTTCTCACCCAACTCAATAAGGAGGCTAGACAGTTCTGGGTTTTTCAGAATGAGAGCTACCATCTTTGCCATGATGTTTATAAGACTCCCTTTCTTTTTAGCAAGGCTGTGTTCAGGGAAATAATTTGTCACTTACCTATGTAGGAAAGGTTAGTCTACTATCACCTCCTCTTTAAAGACAGTCTATGCCTTTAACATTTTTATTATGAAATATTTCAAATACAGAGAAACATAGAAAAGAGTATCATGGGCACCCATCTACCTAGTACCCAGATTAAACAATTGTTAACACTTTCCCTATTTGCTGTCTCTTCTTTTCTTGGTTGTTGAAAGATTTTAGAGTATAGACAATATTTGAATGTATTTCAATATGTTTCATGTTTAAACTTAATATTTTCAAATTAAGAAGGCTGGGAATATTGTATAGTATAGTATGGACAACATTTTCACTCCTAAACACTGGTGTCATGTGCCCACTGTTGAGAGATTTTCGAGCTTGAAATTCCACTCTGACTAACTGGCTATCAGGTCTACGGAGAAGCATCCCCCCCGCCTCAGAGTGGGAGGTTTCCAGGCATCTCCTTGGGGGTCTATAGTGCTCCCCTAACACGAGGGTCTGTCAGGGCCCGTGCCTGTACTTGCTCTGTGCTGTCACAAAACAAAGAGTGACTGATTGCTTCATCCTCCAACAGGCCTGCCTCTGTCT